TTTTGGTTTGGGTAGGAGGGAGAAGGAGTTTGTGTTCATGCTGGTGACCTGGCTTCTCAGTGCTGTCAGGCCCACGTGCCCGTTGCCCTCTTCTTCACTTGCAGGTGAAGACCAAGGTGTGCTGATGGAGCAGTTACCCACCCCAACACACACACACACACACACACACCCATACACACACAACTGCAGGTGAAGACCAAGGTGTACTGATGGAGCAGTTACCCACCCAAACACACACACACACACACTCACAATTGCAGGTGAAGACCAAGGTGTACACACACACACACACACACACACACACACACTCACAATTGCAGGTGAAGACCAAGGTGTGCTGATGCAGCAATTACACACACACCGGGAAGCAGCAGCACTTGCAGATCAGAACCAGCCGTATTTGTGATGTCTCCTCCTTACCCAGATCCTCACTGTATCCTGAGACTGCCTGCCGCAGCCCCAGGGCAGAGGTAGTGTGAGGATGTGACGCAGATATCCCTGCCTTCAAGTGGCCAGATGCTTGACCAGGGCTGGGCGCTGGGCTGGAGTCAGGAGACCCGGGTTCTATTTCTGGGTGGACTTCAAACTCCTTGAGTGACCTTGGGCAAGCCTCCTAATCCTTAGCTCCCCGTTTTGATTATTTGTGTTAATGAAATATGCCTCTTACCACTGTCCTCACCCTCATAAAATAGCAGAAAAACAAAATTCATGTCTGGTGAGTGGCCTCCAGGGGATTTATGAGCTGAAGTGCAGAACTCTGAGTGCCTAAGGAGAAAGCTGCTGTGTAAACACAATATATTGTTAATAACATGTTAAAAAATACCATCACACCCTCTGCTAATAATAGCTGCTTTAGGCTGTTAGGCAGCTTCGACACACAGGCCCAGCAGTGCTGAAGGAAGGGTGACTATTGGTTTTGAATTTACAACAACATAGGAGGTGAAAATTGGTGTTTAAAACATTTATTCATTTATAAATTTTAAAAGCATATATTCACAGAGGAGCCCTGGTGGTGCAGTGGTTAAGAGCTTGGCCTTATATTTGTAAATGAAATATGATCACAGTTCTGTAAAATTCATCTTTAATAAACCTGATCACAAAGTTCTGTTGATTTTCATTATAGTTCAGAGTTGCTTTACAGTGTGGGCTATTCCATGGGCATTTGAATAAAGTGTTGGGAGTCTCTTTCCTCTCTGGCCTCATTGGTAAGCAGTTGATGCCCTCCTAAACTCCATGGAGGGAAACTTACAAATCAGTTGTTGTTATCTGCCATATAGTGGGCCCCGACTCATGGAAACTCCATGCACAGTGGAAGGAAACGCTGCTTGGTCCTGCACCATCCTCATGATTGGGTGCAGATCAGACTATTGTGATCCATGGGGTTTTCATTGGCTGATTTTGGGAAGTAGATCGTCAGGCCTTTCTTCCTAGTCCATCTTAGTCTGGAAGTTCCGCTGAAACCTGTTCATAGCAACACTCAAGCCTCCGCTGACAGATGGGTGGTGGCTTTGCATGAGGTGCATTGGCCAGGAATCCAACCCAGGTCTCCCGCATGGGAGGCAAAAATTCTACCACTGAACCACCACCGCCCCCACCCCCATTCAGTTACTGAACAATTAGCCAGTCAATAGTAATGCCCACTGTACACATGCAAATTGAGTGCCTGCTCCATGCATGGCTCACAGTGATAGACACTGAGGTAGAAAGTATGGTTTTGCCCTCAGGGAATTTGTAGTATAGTTTTAAGGCTCTATAAGCAAGTAATTGGAGCCCTGGTGGCACAGTGGTTAAGAGACTGGCTGCTAACCAGAAGGTTGGCAATTCGAATCCACCAGCCGCTCCTTGGAAACCCTATGGGGCATTTCTGCTCTGTCCTATAGGGTCACTGTGAGTCAGAATCTACTCGAGGGCAATGGGTTTGGTTTGTTTTTTTAAGCAAGTAATTATGCAAGGAGGCCATGGCATTCTGTATACCTGCCTCCTTAAATAATGCCAACAAAATCCAAGTCCGGTTTTTAGCGGGGTAGAGGCATGCCTGCAGTGGTGTAGTGAACGATGCATTCCTTTCCTACAGCATTCCTTGCCGTTTGGCTGCCCTGCTCGTCGCTCAGGAGAGGAAGTCTGTCATGAACAAATACACTACAGGACCTCTTAGGAACTGATAGACCCCATTCCTTTTCCACCAGCTGGGATGACCATTACCGCCCTGCCCTCTGTTACAATGTGCTTTGTACCCTGCATTGGAGGCCCCCTAAGGTCAGGACCTGGCCTGGGCCTAGGCCAGGGGTCCTCAATCCTAGTTGCACGTTAGAATTTCTCAGGGTGGGGTGGGGGTGGACTTTAAAAAATATAGATGCCTGGCCTCACCCCCAGAGGTTCTGATAACGTTGGGCTAGACTGGTTCCCAGGCAACTTTTTAAAAAAAAAAAAACCCTAGGTGAGTGCAGTGTGTCACCAGGGCTGAAAAGCACTGAGTGGTTGAATTTACCGGAAAGGTCAATCAAAGAGAGAGTCTGCTGGTTACTAAGGAGCTTTGTGAATGGGAAAAAATATGCCACAAAGCTTATCTTGGAGACCTATCTGACCTTAGGCTCTTCCGCAATGAGATGTCACACCGTCCCATTTAATCATGGGTAACTTCAGGCACTGGACAGCTCTGCTGACCTGTGGTTGTCTTCCACGCGGGCACAGCTAGTGCTCAGGGGCCAGCTTTGGGAGCTTTGATCTCCTGTGCCCTGGGAATCCCTGCTCTGGCTCCAGTGTCTGGTTGCTATAGGGCCCTCCCAGTAATTTCGGCCCACTCCTTGGTGACTATCTCTTGGCTGCTTCCCCCATTGCCCTCTGATCGCGAGTCAGGACCATTGGTTACCTGCGCCAGGCGCACTGCTTCATGTTCTTCACTCCTGCTGATGCTTCAGCGTGTCTGCAGTGCCTGCATGGTCTTTCCTCCCCCTTGAGTGTATGTTTCTTCCTTCAAGGCTGCATGGCACCCATGATACCCGTGACGGGTCATCCATTTGGTTTATAATGCCAAAGCTTCCTTTTGCTCAAGTCTGTTCCAAGATTCACAACCCATTACTTTTTCCTCCCTCTCTACGTTCTGCAAACCAAAATCAGTTGTCATCGAGTCGATTCCAACTCATGGTGACCCCATATGTGTCACAGTAGAACTGTGTGCTCCATAGGATTTTCAATGGCTGGTTTTTTGGAAGCAGATTGCCAGGCCTTTATTCCATGGCACCTCTGGGTACATTCAAACCTCCAACCTTTTGGTTAGCAGCCAAGTGCATTAACTGCACCACCCAGGGATTCCTGTGTTCTGTAAAGGGGGTTCTTTTTCACATTTAGCTCTAGCCTGCAACTATTCCTTCTTTATAGCTGTGTTTTAGAAAGAATAAAAACTACAACTAGAATGTGGATTAGATACCTACTGGGCCGACTCCAAGCAGCGTTATCTACTGCTTTGATTCTAACTTATAATATTGGGGACATCTGTCTATCCACAGGTGTGTGACAGGCAGAGCGTAGAGGTGCCCCTTCAAAGTGATGAGGACAGTTTGGGGCCATGCTATTAGTCCAGAGAAGGGAGCCCCAGATGGATAATGAAAAATATTTGTTTGTTTGTTTTTTATTTTGGATTACATGATGATCCTCCATGGGGCACATGTTGACCTACAATGTGATTTATTCAAGGTAATGCTACAATTGGCTTGAATTCTCCCAGCACAGGTGGGCAGAGAGCTGGGGTAGAGGGCTGAGAAGCTGGCCAAATGCTGGAAACAGCGTGCTGGGACTGGGATGATACAGAGCTGACTGTAGTCGTTCTTTTATTTTTCCTTTTTCCTTTCTGTTTTAATTTTCAGCATTTGGTATTCTGATCCTTGTATTCTCAAATCTTTTCCTTATGTTTACCTTCATTTTCCATTTCTGTTTCTCCTGCTGTTTACTGTATGTGGCTTGCCACAGACTTCCCCTATGTCCTGAGCCCCATGGGCTTTCCTGCCAGCCCCCACCCTGCATCCTTGGCCACATCCTGGGTGTAAGTCCTCTGGCTGAACCCTGCACCTCATCCCTAAAGTGCTCCTGCCTCCTCCTGTGCCTGGTATCTTGTCTGACCTCGTCCTTCCTTCCCTTCCCTTGTTTCCTTTTGTAGACTCATTCTGTCTTGCTACAAACAGTAGCATCAAATCATTCCTCCTTTTCATCTTTGGGGAAATCCAAAGGTGCTTATCATGTCATGGACTCTCTGGGTATTGCAAACGGTTAATGCGCTCAGCTGCTAACTGAAAGGTTAGAGGTTCGAGTCTACCCAGTGGCTCCTTGGAATAAAAGCCTGGCAATCTACTTCCAAAAAACTATCATTGAAAACCCTGTGGAGCACAGTCATACTCTGACACACACAGCGTCGCCATGAGTCGGAATCAAGTCGATGGCAACTGGTTTGGTTTTCTGGTTTATCACATCATATCAGAAAGAGATAGCAGAGTAGATTTTTCTTTTCCCGTGTTTAAGCTTACATTAGTGGGTTACTTTTTGTGCTCTGTGCTCACCTCATTTCTTGTTCAGGTAGTAACTGATAGTCCCATTTGACAACAAGTTAAGTGGTAGAGCTGGGATGTCTCATGCCAGAGCCTCCAGGCTTCACTATTAAACTCCATGCCCTCCAGCTGGGGAAGGAGTGGAACATTGTGCTGCAGGCAGGGGACACGGATTTCTTGCCTTCGATACTCCTCCCGTGCCAGCAATCATGTGCTCCTGTAAGGTTACATAGGAAGTTGAGGCTCCTTCCCATGGGACTGACTTTGGCAATACAACTCTGGATTGTATTTTCCAAGAACGACTCAGTGTCAGTCCTAGGACTGTGAGTGGTCCCTGGGGGAGTGTGGCATATTACAGTTGGATCCCAATGCCCTGGCTATGTCATTGTCACTCATTGTGCCAACTCTTCAGCAAGGTGGAGTTCTCCCAGTTAAGATATTCAATGTTTTGTTTCTTTGCAGAGCCTGTGTCATCTTGGGGGTGATATTCCTTCTGTCGTCCATATGTATAGTGGTCAAAGCTATCCATGACCTCTCAACTAGGCTGCTTCCAGAAGTGGTAAGGTCCTAATTCTTCTTTTATAATTTCTCCTAGTGGTACCAGCTCCTGCGCTGCCTTCATGACAGGTGTACTGTGGGGAATTGAGCAGGCTGAGAGAGAATATACAACGTTTTGGGAGGTCGTAGAAGAACTCATTTCAGGAATGTGAATGACTTGGCAGAGAAAAGCTGTGGGCAAGATGAAAACCCTCCAAATAGCTGAGCTGATACTGAGTTCTGTGTCCCTTTCCTTAGATCTTTTGACTATTTTAAAAACAAGATGCCTTTTTTTGGTAAAGATAAACAATGTTATTTAGACGAGTGATCCAGTCTGTGTCATTTGCATCTGTTGATCTGCATCCATTCAATGACTGTTGTAATAAGAATTATTTTTCCTTAGCACTTCATTCAATTCAATACATAAATTTATTCACATTAGGTTTCCTGGCACCACTGAAATTCGGATGCAGAAACTCTAGGACACAATTTCATGGTAAAACATATCTGGCTGCCTCGTCCCCTGGAAGAGAGTCATTACCTGCACTCTGATTCTCTCTTTTTTTTTTCCTTAAGAGTGTCCAGGAAAAGAGATATTTTAACAACTTTCTATCAGGAAATCTTCACAGAAGGCAGCTGATTTGGTTACGAGGAGATGAAGATGCTGCCATTACAATAATTCTTCTGTGTACAAGCTGCACAGTGATTTAAATGCGAAATACAGGCTCTTCTCTTAGGACGTCTTTTGATTTGAGCTTGGCTACCTGCACCACGTTATATAAGGCCAAAATTATTAGACCTTTAATTTTGCTGTAGAAAAAGATATGTTAATCCTTTTTGGGGTGATGTATTTTGTGTGTGTGTATTTTTATGGAGGAGTTGAAAATGTAATGGGACATTCTATTGTATTTAATAGAGGTATTAAAGCAAATGCAGTAAGTTGCCAATCCCCTCACCACCACTTTTTAAAACTGAGATTAGAGCTATGACTTTACTAACCTGCTGGGGTCTTCACTGTTATGTATCTTTGCAGTTCATCAGAAGCTTGCTGTCTCGTGTTTCAGTGACAGGGAGGACAGACGCATACCCGGGTAGGCATGTGCCTGCCTGTGGTTTTCGGTCTCCCTCAGAAGCAGTGTGAGCTCAAGCAAATATTAACTTTTATTACACTCTGTGCTCATGATTATTATACTGTCTCACCCTGGTCTTCTGGTTGCTTGGGATCCTGGACTTCTCCATCCTTTTCCTCCCTCAGTCTTGCCTGTCCAGTGTTTCAGTCTGTCAGAGTCCTAATTGTAGATAAGACGTGAAGACGGTGTGATTGTAAATTAGATGCCCAGTCAGATTCGTCTTTGCACTTTAAAGGCAAATGGGGAACACGCCTCACTTTCAGGGAGCGTTCATCGGTGGGAATTGTCAGCACTATGATAGTTGACCCATTCTTTTATTTAGACATTAAAAATTAATTTTTGGCAGGTCTGTCTTGCACAGTGGATAACTGTGCTCAGAACCCCTGCAAAGTCCTGCTTTTTTTTTCTTTCTCAATAGCTGAAATACTTTTAACTGGAACAGCCTCTTATCCCACAGGTGCAGATAACTCTTTAAAGAAGAAGCCTGAAAGGGGATTTGGAGAGGATGAAGAGCTCTAGGGTTTTAACTAAGACTGGCCCAGTCTTAGAAAACCCACACCCTCTGCATCTTGTATAAATTGTAAGGTGGAATTTAAAAATCACAACCCTTTCTGGTCATCTTGTCAGAACTCTGAAGAAAAGGTGTAGGTTTTTGTTATTTTTTAAAATGACTTCAGGGTGCAAACAGTTAACATGCTCGGCTGCTAACCCAGAGGTTGGAGGTTTAAGTCCACCCAGAGGTGCCTTGGAAGAAACGCCTGGCATTCTACTTCTGAAAAATCAACCACTGAAAACTCTCTGGAGCACAGTTCTACTCTGACCACATGGGGTTGCCATGAGTTGGAATTGACTCAACGGCAAGTTTTTTTTTTTTTTTTTTAATATGACTTCAGAGTTATGAAAGGCTGACAAGCAGCCTGAGCTCTGGCTGCCAGAGGAAGGCCCTCTCGGTCAGCTGAGTGGTACACAGGGGCCAGAGAACTGCCTCCTGGCCAGAGCCATCGGTGTTCTATCTGGGGCCTTCCAGCTTCCTCGCTGTGCTCCAGAGGCCCCACCACCTGGCCTGCAGTAATTCAAAATGAGTATTTGCCCACAATGCTTCCTCTAAACTAGGAGTCACCAACTCAAATGCCTGCAGAAGCCAGGCCTGAACGGGCCAGGTCTGCGGCAGCTAGAGCGTGTGTGCCTGGCTGAAGGGCAATTGGCCTGCTCCAACAGAGTGCTGTGTGAGAATGCAGTGTTGTCCGATCTTCTAAGTTTTTAAGAGAGTGGAAACCTACATTTAATGTGAAATAAATTGGCAACTAATTCAAATTAAAAAAAACAAAAACAAAAAACAACTCTCCTTGGGGTGGGTGGACAATTTCGGGCAGGCCAAGTAAAGCATGCCTCAGCCTGTGGCTGCAAGTTCGATCCTTCCGGTGGAAACCAGACTGTGAGTTTGCAATCTCTGGTCAAAATCAGGGAGACTGGTCGTCATGGCCTCCATGTCAGAGATTTAGCTCTGAGTTTCCTTCACCCTTGCCCTCAGCCGCAGTTTCTATTTTTACGTGTGATTTCTGTCAAGTCGTTACTGTGGGATCTGTGGGGAGCAGCATCTTCAGTACCTCAGTCCTGCCCCCCCGGCCTCCACTGCTGCTTTTTTCTTAATTTCTGCTGCACGATTCTGAGAGTGAGAACATTTGCAAGAATGGGTGAGTTTTGAATAAGAAAGTTATGCAGTTAGAAATTTCCCAACTATGAAGTGAAGTGGGTTGGTTTTAAGCCCTGGTGGTATCACCTGCCCCTCAGTGTTTTGCTGGAGCAATCAGGCCAGCCTGGCTCTCATGAGCAAATGGCTTAAGCCAGTTCCCTCACAATAAGCACGTGGTCTCCTTGGATTACTAATGAAACAGATTCCCAAGGAGCCTTTTCTGAACCTGTATATGAGCTCCTGTCTGAAGTCGGGAGGGAAGAGGTGCTGGTGCCACATCTTTATTAATAGAGCTTTGCCTTAGGTCTGTGGGTTTCAATAGGAGCATCCTTCCCTTCCTGTTTTACCCCCCACCCCCACCCACTTGATAAGGGTCAGGCGGTCTGCTTCTCCTTGGTGAGGACTCCGGGGCTCTGAAAGCTGAATGATTCACAGAGGCAGGGGCGAATTAACCAGCAAGAAAGGTATGCACAGGCTTACATTAAGCAAGTTACACACGGGCTTACATGTGTTTACTTACTAACGTGTAGTGAACAGTTTCACATGGGTTTGTTCAGGTAAAATTGTTCAGGTGAAACTGTGCCCTACAGATTAGTAAGTAAGCACAAGTAAGCCCGTGTGTAACTTGCTTATTGGGTTATCTGTCCCTACCAGAGGCCATCAGTTGGCTGGTGGCAGAGCCTGGACTTGAATCCTTGTCTCTAGTCCAGGGCTCTCTTGGCCCCTGTACCACAGGCCTGTATGGTCTTGTGTCCATGGCTTTTCAGGTCTGGCCCTCCTGTCTCGTGTCTCGTCCTCATCCTCCTGAAGGGTGTGCTGCCCCAGGCCTTGGGGTGGGGGGGTTGTCTAGACCGCGACTGCCACCCTATCCCTTACCACACAGGCCTCTGCACTCTGTGCCACCAACCAAAGTGTGTCATCCACCGCTTCGTCTTTTGAAAAACCCACAAGCAGGTTAACCAAGAAGCAATGGAAAATGCAGTAGGACAGTGTGGAATGAGAGGGATCATGGGGTAGATGTGATCACATGGAAGGAAGCGCTTTAGAGAAGCTGCTCAGCCTGGTGGGAGGGATGTGGGCTTGGCGGACAGACCTGCAGGAGGGGTGAATCTCCTCTCTGCCTCTTACCTGCGTGACCTTGGGCACGTCCCAAAGCCTCTCTCACCCTCAGCTTCCTCATATGTAAAACAAAGAAATACTTACCTCATAGGTTTATGGTTAAGGATCAAGTAAGCAATTTATTTTAAATGATTGGCATTAGAAGGTAGTAATGCTGTGGTGGCTGCTCCTTTTGAAGCTCTGATTTGTTGAGGTTTCTGAATTGTTAATCAAAGTTACCCCACTTGTGGCCTGAGATAATTTCAGTCTGGACTCGTCAGTTTTCTCTCTGGCTGTGGGCACAGAGCTCTGGTCGTCGTTGCTCTGACACTTCACTGTGGGGTCCTCTGGCCTTCGGGGGTCCTACCCTAGCACCCTAGATGAAAATGGTGTTGCTCTCCCTTGGACTTCAGGCAGCCGTCACTAACTTTGGGGCGCTCTCTCAGAGAACAGTGAACATTCATGTGAAAACCTGACCTCTAAGCCTATTAACAGAAGAAATGCAAAGAGAATAGGGGGTGGTCAGTAAGGGTTGGGGCTGGGTGAATGACTTCACCCAGTCAACCTATCAGCCTGAGGTCTTCTGAGGCAAGTGCCTCTCACCCACGGGCATGAGCTTCTAAAGGATTCCCTGGTTATGACTGAGTACCCGGAGGCAGTGTGGGCTTGGGGTTAAGGATATGGGAGCTAAAGTCAGGGAGACAGCTTCAAGCTCTGCCACTTCCTACCTGCAGGAACCTAGGACAGGTTATTTAACCTTTCTCTGCCTCAGTTTCCTCATTTGTAAAATGGAAATAATAATGACACATCCTTCGTAGGATTGTTAGGAAAATAAAGAGATATAAGGGATGAGCTTAGCATGTAACTATCGAATGACTGCTGGCTGATATTTTTGTTGCTACGCTAGAGAAAAGACTTCTAAGGAAGTTGGTGCCTTTGGTTCTGGAAGCTTAGGCCTCGTTGAGCTGTTCAGGAAATACCTTCAGGGATGCTCTTCTCAGCTTGGGCAGGATAATGCTGTGGGCTGCTTCTTGTACAATAAACTGTCGTTCCTGAATCCACCATCAGCAGTAGAGAGATCTGTCTTCCAGTGTGACATGC